CTCTAAAAAAAGTTTATCGTTCACCTCGCTCTATTATTGTACTGAATAAAACACGAGGGACTTGAATGTCATGTTCACGAAAATACAAGTGTCATGATTTCTGAATAGCGAGTACTTATTATATCTTTTTAAATACATTTTAGGAAAATAATTTCTCAAATAGTTCTAGGAAAATATCTACTAATTTAGTAATGATTAATCATGATTTCGTAAAATAATACTAATGCGTATTCTACATTTTTACTTGCAAAATAACGAGGTATTGAGGTTTTGTTAAAATATCCGAATATATTTTTTACAACTAGGCCTACAATGTATGCTTCAGTTCAACGCATTACTGTCTCATTACTGTCCAACGGTTAGGTCTTAAAAAAGATCACTAGTATTCAAGTGGCATTACTCAGTACTACATGTGTAAAGTCAGGTACTATACTAGACAAGTTACCTTGGAGACAGTCAATAATTTTAATTTAAACAGCCGTTGACAATGCAATTAGAAACAAACGTGTAAACCTACGTTTATTCGTACGAGTTTGCGAGCCAGCGTGATCGGACCATAAAACGGGATTTTATAGGGCTAAAAATAGTTGTTTTTTTCTCATTTTTGACTCTTAAAAAAAATTAATAAGTGTAAAATATTTAAAGTATCTATAAGTTTAATTAAATTACATCCAATAAAGAAAATGAATAAGTTGATCGAAGCATAATTAATTAACGTACACATTTGGTTATGTAACGACAGTTATTCTACTTTACTATGGAACAGAATTCCTAATGTACACATCCTATAAAAGTGTGATAAGCGCTTTCTATTTTATTGCCAGACATCCTTGACTTTAGTATACTCCTACACAAACAACTTTGACACATTAGAAAAAATGTCATAATTTTAAAGCTGTACTCTGTTTACTCATATTTAATTGTTATTAAATTATTTATACTCCCTCTCAAAGAGAGAGAGGCAATACAGTTCGTGTGTAGTAGTTGCGTCACTCTCCGTACATTACATGTATATGACGCTCGTCACGTTGATGTACTAGAGGACGGTGGTGCAGGCTGTCTACTCACTTCAAGAGGCAGTTGTATACAGTTCGTGTGTAGTAGTTGCGTCACTCTCTGTACATTACATGTATGACGCTCGTCACGTTGATGTACTAGAGGACGGTGGTGCAGGCTGTCTACTCACTTCAAGAGGCAGTTGTATACAGTTCGTGTGTAGTAGTTGCGTCACTCTCCGTAGATTAGATGTATGACACTCGTCACGTTGATGTACTAGAGGTGCAGGCTGTCTACTTACTCTCAAGAGGCAGTTGTATGCAGTTCGTGTGTAGTAGTTGCGTCACTCTCCGTACATTAGATGTATGACGCTTGTCACGTTGATGTACTAGAGAACGGGGCAGGCTGTCTACTCACTCTCAAGAGGCAGTGGTATACAGTTCGTGTGTAGTAGTTGCGTCATTCTCCGTACATTAGATGTATGACGCTCGTTACGTTAATATACAAGAGGTGCAGGCTGTCTACTCACTCTCAAGAGGCAGTTGTATTCATTTCGTGTGTAGTAGTTGCGTCACTCTCCGTACATTAGATGTATGACGCTCGTCACGTTGATGTACTAGAGGTGCAGGCTGTCTACTCACTCTCAAGAGGTAGTTGTATGCAGTTCGTGTGTAGTAGTTGCGTCACTCTACGTATATTAGATGTATGACGCTCGTCACGTTGATGTACTTAAGGTGCAGGCTGTCTACTCACTCTCAAGAGGTAGTTGTATGCAGTTCGTGTGTAGTAGTTGCGTCACTCTACGTACATTAGATGAATGACGCTCGTCACGTTGATGTACTAGAGGACGGTGCAGGCTGTCTACTCACTCTCAAGAGGCAGTTGTAGGCAGTTCGTGTGTAGTAGTTGCGTCACTCTCCGTACATTACATGTATATGACGCTCGTCACGTTGTTGTACTAGAGGACGGTGGTGCAGGCTGTCTACTCACTTCAAGAGGCAGTTGCATACAGTTCGTGTGTAGTAGTTGCGTCACTCTCCGTAGATTAGATGTATGACGCTCGTCACGTTGATGTACTAGAGGTGCAGGCTGTCTACTTACTCTCAAGAGGCAGTTGTATGCAATTCGTGTGTAGTAGTTACGTCACTCTCCGTACATTACATGTATGACGCTCGTCATGTTGATGTACTAGAGAACGGTGCAGGCTGTCTACTCACTCTCAAGAGGCAGTTGTATGCAGTTCGTGTGTAGTAGTTGCGTCACTCTCCGTACATTAGATGTATGACGCTCGTCACGTTGATGTACTAGAGAACGGTGCAGGCTGTCTACTCACTCTCAAGAGGCAGTTGTATGCAGTTCGTGTGTAGTAGTTGCGTCACTCTCCGTACATTAGATGTATGACGCTCGTCACGTTGATATACTAGAGAACGGTGCAGGCTGTCTACTCACTCTCAAGAGGCAGTTGTATGCAGTTCGTGTGTAGTAGTTGCGTCACTCTCCGTACATTAGATGTATGACGCTTGTCACGTTGATGTACTAGAGGACGGTGGTGCAGCCTGTCTACTCACTCTCAAGAGGCAGTTGTATGCAGTTCGTGTGTAGTAGTTGCGTCACTCTCCGTACATTAGATGTATGACGCTCGTCACGTTGATGTACTAGAGGACGGTCGCAGGCTGTCTACTCACTCTCAAGAGGCAGTTGTATGCAGTTCGTGTGTAGTAGTTGCGTCACTCCACGTACATTAGATGTATGACGCTCGTCACGTTGATGTACTAGAGGTGCAGGCTGTCTACTTACTCTCAAGAGGTAGTTGTATGCAGTTCGTGTGTAGTATTTGCGTCACTCTACGTACATTAGATGTATGACGCTCGTCACGTTGATGTACTAGAGGACGGTGGTGCAGGCTGTCTACTCACTCTCAAGAGGCAGTTGTATGCAGTTCGTGTGTAATAGCAGAGTCGCTCTCCCTCGACTATTGTCTCATGTAGGGGATCAAGTACACTAAGGGGTACTTTTATACCTGAGGCTAATGAAAGGACGTGTTGCTCTCAGGATCAGCAGTAATGAAGAAAGCGAGCGTGTATCCCCTCGTCGCATTCTGATCTGAGAAACTTCACTTGAGGATTTCTTAACAAACTTTTAAAAGTGTGTGTACTTTATAGATATCTTTAACGAATATTGACTTCCTTTTATAAAGGTAGCTTTCAGTTGTTCAATTCTATTCAGTACCGACACACATGATCTTGTTGAAGAAACACTATTGTTTATTATATGGTTCAAACTATCGCAAAATATTTTACGAGTAAAATAAAAATAATAGTTTACGCAAATCAGCAATAAATAACCGCAGTTGAGAAGCCATGCTCATTGGTCATATCTCTTCAGAGATTTTGTGGAGGGAATAATCTGTTTACCTTTGTGGGGCTTCCAGACCTGAATATAAGGTCAACAAGCAGTTAGCCACCCTTTCACTGCTGAGGTTGTCACGAACGTGTAAACGATATAGATAATGTCAGTGTCGTAAATAGCATAGGTCTAAGTCTTAACATTAATTAGTTTTAACGTTTTTAAGAAAGTAAAACTTTTTTCAAAACAGCGTTCACATACCATTTAACATAACAGTCATAAGCTATCTGAGTAACATAGAACAATATTAATCTTCTTGTTTTTCTAACAAATACTGCTTTGTATTTCAAGCATGAAATGTACCAATGGTAAAATTTTTTTATCATAATTTTATTTAATCGATGGTTATTTTTAGCTGAAACTGTCGAAATTTGATTGTTGCAAGTAGACTATAGGGGTAAATTCTGCGAAGATTATACAGGCAGGAAAGTTGAAAATAGTTTTTAAAAGCTCAAAACCTTTATTAGTAAACTTTTCATGTGGACTATGGGTACGGGGTTTCAGGTTAAAAATGTTTTTTCTTGAAATGTGAACCTCATAACATGGAATTTTCCAATTACTCTTTAGACCATTGGGTAGAGCTTGAAAAACAATGAGTTAAGTATCCTGAAGAGATTTTGTATGGTCTTTAGTTACGGAGAAATTTCAAAAAGTTTTAAACAAAAAACTCCTACGTTATTCTAATGAGGAATAAGTCAACTGTTGTAGTTTTCTCATATCATTGGATATATTTTGTTTAAGCTCGGCAAATTTATTTATTTTATACTAAGCTATTATCATAAAAAACTTACTTTTCTAGACTCCCAGTAAACTATCTACCAAAACTATCTACTCGTTTAACTTAATGCTATTTTAATAGGGAAGAAAGCTGATAGCTATGGAAGTATTTAAGTGAAAATCTAATCTTGGATATGGAGTCTGTAGGTTTGCTGCGGCAAGAGTATATTTTAACTACTAGAGACGAATTTAAGCTACACACAATATCATGTCAAAACAAATTAGCGTTGACCAACTTAGTCAATCACAACGATACAGTTGAAATTGTTACGATCCACTATAAGGAATTTTAAGAAGCAATAAGCCAAATGTGGATTATACTATAGTTGGTATAGTTTCCAGGTCGACCCAATCATCTTCTCCTATTCGCCGCGTATACTTCACGTCCGTCTATACATTTGTCTTGCATGAGTTGTGTACTCAATGATTTAAGTGTATTATGTAAACTACAATATAAAATCTTTTACTTTATAACAGTTTTTGGGAATCCTGTATTTCCTATCAGTCATCATTATAGACAGGACAACATGAATTGAATTATATAACTCGGTCATTTCACAATATTGTTTGCCAGTCTTCAGTCTCATTTGAACCTGTTTTAATCCGATCAAAATCAGGTGGAAAATTTGCGGCCATTGCGTGTACGTGTGCAGACTGAAGTCCTCAGTGACTGAAGACTACCTTGTCGTTGTCGTTGTACTTGTACTTGTACCTTGCCGGTGGCTGTAGGCCGAGGCCACTACGTCACGACCAGTCCTACCAACCTGCACACTGCACACTACACACTCACAACTTTGTCTTCATTCGTCTCTCTGTTGCAGATCAGTCAACATGGTCTACAGGTTCTGCGTCGTCGTGCTGCTCGCGCCTGCGCTTCTCTCCCTCGTCTGCGCCGAGGTAAACAACTACTGTACACTTATACCACAATCCTTTTTTAATCAATTATTTATGTGTAAAAGACATTTTATCCATTTGTCAATATTTATTAACAAGAATTAGAGATATGATAAGTTTTGTTCCGGCCAAAACAATACTTTACAATCCCCGTAGCTTATTTTAGGGTACAATAGTTTTAAAATCGATGATGATCCTTAGACAGATTTTGTGAAAGAACAGTTCATATAATAATGATTGAAGAGTATTCATGTAACACTCAGAAAACACATCAACTAGATATAATCAATTAAATGCTAGTGAGTTCAAATTATATTTATGTGTAAAAGAAAATACAGTCTCAATTTACATTCATATTTCCTAATAATAGGCTATATAACAATATTTCTTTGTAAAACAGAGTTTTAACAATGGAAATGTAACCTTGAATTATTAAAACATCACATTATCAATACTGCAAATAAAAACAACTATGCGCTTGTTGTGGTCTATTAAAAAAAATATTTTGTTTGGATTTACAACAGTAGACTACAGCCAGTGCATCGCTATGCAAGCCTTGTGTGTTACGTAATAGGACTTGGTGCCGGCGACCGGCGAGCGCATCATCTTCCACCACCTCTAGCCACTAGCAAGCTTATATAACATTCGTCAACAAACAACGGACAAGCATAACATAACTATTGTACACTATAGGCTACAGTGTATACCTACATTACGGCAGGCTTCACCACATTTGCATTCGTAAACTAATATTTTCTCTAATTACAATTAATTACAATTGTCCTTTTGTTATGTCATTTGTATTAGAATACTAGTTTTTAATCTGTTAATTGAAAACGAATATTTTTTGCTCTCATGGACATTGAGTTTCCAACTACCACATGCAATTAACTAAAATATTACGATTCCTTACAGAGACGTACACAATTTCTAAGGTAATATTACATATTATACAAACTACCTGTATAATTTTTCCAATTAGTAAATTTATTGATTTGACGTATTCAAAAATTCCATTCATTAGAACTGTCAGTGTTGTGCAATACATTTAGGGAATAAGCTTGTTCAAAATTTATGTACAAAGTTTCCTTGTAAGTCAGGTTTTAGTAGAGCAACACCTGCCAAGATTTGCGATCTACTCCAGTTCACTAATCATCGAAATTAAATTCAAAACCAATCGATAATAATTATCAGTTATCCTCCTTTCACTGCTGACCTGGCCAAGCATTGATTGTACATAATTAAAGACTCGAATATACTTTTTTATAATAGAAATTACGGTAGAAGTGTTTGTGAAAATTGCAAACTCTCTTGCTGGATTATTAAACAATAAATTCTCCACCTGAAAACATACATTTATTAACAACCACAAATAAATAAGTCTTATAGTTTGATGATTCAATTTCATCACGCTGTTTAATTGTTATTGTTATAATATTAATAGGAATATTAGACAGGTTGCAGACGATGAACTTTATATCCATACAAATATCATAGTTTTAATTTTAAAACCCCTTGCTACGTTTGACCTTTTGCTGCATACCGTTAAAAAGACAACCCTCGAGCAAAGTAAATATTGCGAGACAAAGACAAATAAAAGGTTTTCGACAAAGTGGAGTGTTTTAGAAACCTTTGAACAGTTGTACAAACAACATCCGTGGGAAGACAAAAGCCCTTTAGTCTTCCTTCAGACTATAGACATTACAGAATCAAAATATAGAGCTAGTTCTGATGCGATAGAGATACAAAAGTTATAATCAGCATACCTAAACGTAAAGATGGACCACTTCAGACCATTGTATAAGGGGTATGGTAATGTAAAAACGAAAATGCAATACTACTTTATCATCCACCGTACTTTACTAATTAATAAAATAATAAGCCTAAAGTTATACTGTAGTTGATTAATTACTGTAGTTTTTAAGTTAAATAGATTTTAAAAGCTATTTAATCCTCATACTCATGTTTTTTCTTTCAAAGAGAAATGGTTGTGGTTCTTTCTTCAATATGATATATTCCATTTCACTAATAGAGAGTTAATTATTTCCTTCTGTTTTCATAACATAGGTTTAAAAAATACATATACTGGATTTTATGTTAATTATTGTCTGAGACGCTATCCACTATACTAGCAACCCACCCTTGAATGCACCATTTGCCCTCAGCTACACATCATGTATTAGTCCATTTTGTAATTTACTGTGCAGGAGAGGAGAGCTATCGTGATCCTCAAGGGAGACCCCGGTGTGTCTGGCAATGTCACCTTCTCACAGATGGAGGACGACGGTCCTGTCACCATCAGAGGCACCATCAGTGGCCTGTCAAAGGGCAAGCATGGCTTCCACATCCACGAGAAGGGGGATCTGACATCAGGGTGCAAGAGCACCGAAGGTCACTTCAACCCCGACAAGGTAAATATCTACAACCCCAGTGGACAAGTCACCATGTGGTAGTAACTGTGGTCCACCTTCGACCGGACTGGTTTGGACTGACCTTCTACCCGTCTTGAGCCAGTTTGGTGGTTTACTTTGAGCTTCAAAGGGGCCCAATTATGGTTGATTACCATATGTTAAAATGAGGATTTTTGTGAAAACGATTGAGCTGACTAGAAGTAAAAAATATAGCCGGCTAAAGCTTAAATGTGGGACAAAACAAATAATGAATACGTTCACGATTAGTTGTATTTAATCCTTCATGTACATTCCACTGCATGCCTCTAAATAAAATTTTAAATTCATAAGCTTACTAAGTCAACAAATGATCTCTCATTCCTTTTATGTACACCAATATTAAAATTTTTTGTTAAATGAACAGAATCTAACAAAACTAACTACTGCGCATTACATTTATTTTCGTTGGGGTGAGCTTTGTACTACTCCTTGACCAAGATAGCAATAAACGTTAAAAACTACCTACTTTATTTAAATTCAATATTGAGGTTTTAAAAGTAAATCATGCACTGGCCTAGCTACTGTGCTTTATCCACTTACAGTACCTATTATCGTCACCTTGAACAATTAACTGCCTTGAGACAAAACATAGTATCCCAACATTTCGTCTACCAAGCGATGGTTTGTCTCGATGGAGGGGTGGAGAGTTGTGTTGGGGACACCACTGTGCTCTTGTTGATTAAACCAATAAACCATCTCTGTGATGACCCCGTTTCGTTTATAGCATCCATCTTCTTTCAATCCATATTTGTTGCAATTTTCAATTAGGCGTTTCCTCTTACTTTTATTGATTGAAATTATTCATCGTGTTTAAAGTGTTCTTTGGAAAGGGAAATCATCTATCTCATTTATTGTTGTCAATCCGTGCATAGAATCCAATTATTAGTAACCCAAATAAACTTAATATTCCTGGAGCAAAACAAGGGAAGAATTGTTTTCTGCGTAGTTTCTTTGACGATGAAAGTAAAACCATTAGATGGTCTAGCCATTCACTGTGGATTGTCCGGTTTTTAAAGTTAATTATGGTCTCAAGAACTATTAATATCACCTCAAGACAAACTACAAAATGGCGTCATATTAACTAATTTCAGAAGTTTTTATCTTTAACACATAGGTTGTTGCCCTAATCTCATAAGATATTGTGCATATTAATGACATTTATCGTTTATTTTGTGTTTAAAGTACTATTTCTATACCAGATATTTGAATGCCTTTTTACCAGAATCTTTTCCGGGACAAATTAATCAAACACTTAGGCCTAACTTTCCATTTAAAAATGCATTCGAACTGCGTTACAAATAATGCATAGGTAGGTTCTAGACGGGTAAAAATGTTTTAGTATATCGTGAAATTCCAAATCAACGCATTTGAATCTTAAAATGAACAGAATGAGCACAACGTCCGAATGCGTATGTTGTATTAAGTCTACAGCACATGTCGAGGTTAAATGTCCATAGCCATTACTACTTGACTGGATGGGTCTAGATTAAAATGAAACAGGTGACAGGAGAGCACTTATCCCTTAGATAACGATCCCTGCCCGTTCCGTTTACCAACTGGTGTTCCAAGCCTCGCCTTGGGTAAGGTATACTGTCCTTGTAAACCTATCTCTGAAGAGAAAAGCTAAACCTGTTTATTATTTACTGTTAGATGATGTTAAATGTTAGAACTGGCAATTTAAGCACTATTCTGTTTGGTGGAAAATATATCTAATTAGAATTGCTTACTATTAATTTATTTTAAACATGGATCAATGCAATAATACTATTGCCTCCTCCCAAGCGTCTTAACTCAACAGTCAATATCAGTAGTATAATCATCATTGGATATAACAGTACCATTCCTGTCAGCATCTCATCTCATTACCTTAATTAATCTGTATGTCATTACCTTAATTACTTTGGCCACGTCTATCATTAGTGAGTAGAAGGGTACACATGACCAATTGTGTTGAGTAATTAGAAAATATCTAAACTTTCATCGTACAGTAAAAATATTAGCATTTTCAATAGCGTGCCTAGTACATTATTTAAAAAAAAAAAAAAAAAAAAACTGCTATATGTTTCATTAGAGGAAAATTCAAGACACAAGGGTCCAGTATGATATAATAAATCGTTGGTAATGTCCACCCGTTTCCCACTACAACCTTTAAAATTGCTAACATACATTTTACTAGTACTAAAAAAACGTTTACCCAACTTCCTACGAGCTTATAAAGAAGAAGAGTTTAAACGCCATACCTAATACTGAAATGAATCACAAACTACCTAACTCGTATAAGACAAATATTTTAGCTGCTTTTTTGTCACCAATCCGTTGAACCTTTCCTAATAAATATGCACTTTTGTAGAAAAACCACGGAGGCCCGAACGATGAGGTACGTCATGCCGGAGACCTGGGTAACATCTTCGCTGAGGACAACGGTGTGGCCGACGTGGTGATCACAGACAAGATCATCTCTCTGGTGGGCAAATACAGCATCCTGGGCCGTGCCGTGGTCGTCCACAGCGACGCCGACGATCTGGGCCGTGGGGGCTTCAGTGACAGTCTGACCACTGGACATGCCGGCACTAGAGTTGCCTGCGGGGTCATCGGCATCCAGTAATGCTCTTTACACTATTGCACGAGATCAAAAATTTCATGTTTTATTTAACACAAGTTCATGTAAATTAGGACTTTTCATTTTGTATTGATTTCACCATCCTAAAAACGTATACATGAGCTATTTCAAGCTATACAAAGCTATTTCATTACAAAACTGTTTCTGAGCCTATAGTAAAGACCAATGTGTAAGATATACATACCTGCATCATAACACTCCAAACATCATTTTATGTATAACACTCATTTTCATATCATCATGTAATCAATTATGTAATGTGTTGTTTGTTACTTGTCTTAGTCATTTGTTTTGCATTTTAGTGTTATTCTGTTTGTTTGATGTATGTCTAGCTTTCTTTGTTATTGCTGTTATTTTCAAAGAATGTGTTTTGTAAAAAATAAACGCTCCTCAAATATTACATAGTTATCTCCCATACCCTGACCTTGTTGTTGTGTGTTTGTTTGTATTGTATTTTTGTTTTGTGGCTTTTGGGATCACCTTGCTAATTAATATTTTTAGACTTCGAATCGGGCAACTAAGTTTACGAGTTTATTGTAATAATACTGAAAGAAACTTCTTCAGATGACGATGTTATGGTGTAAACGTGAGTTAAAAAGTATAGTGTGATATTTTCACTGGACATTACAAACATCACTCACACCAAAACACAAAAAAAAATCACCATACAGTCCATTATTACAGTTTATTATTTCATATTCATTGTTCATCCAACCGTTAATATTTTTTGATAACTATTCATTGTTATTCAACCCAAAGAAGTACTTTCTTTAATCATGAAATCTTCCAACATTTTCCTCAAATACTTTTCATTAGAGTATTTGACTGTTTTCATTATTCATTATATTTGCTACAGTATACAGTCTAATCGGGTAATTTATATTGCAAGACAAGGTACAAATTACAACGTGCTACAAGAAATTTGCACATGTAAATTGTAAATCCGTATATCACTATGATCTTCATATTGAGGCAAAACATGCCTAAAGGTAAGACCACAAAGAAATTGGAAAATACTATGACAATGAATCGACAAAGAAAACTTCAAGTAAATAATATGTTATCTCGATTCAGAAAAAGTACAGTTTTGGTTGTTACCAAGCTGCAGATTATGTACTATTTTACCTCATTTCTATTACTTTTGCATACTATTTGTTGAAATGAAGCCTCTTTACATGTATTTTTTGCTTACAAATCTAAAGTTCAACATCATAATACGCTCACCAGAAATAAAATTTAATAAATCAACGACAATCAAAATATTGAACATAATTATCTACAGTTTGCAGGAATAATTCCATTTAAAGGTATATTAAAATTCAATTGTCGTAACGTATATTTCATTGTTCACATAAGAAGAATATCAACTTATAAATACGTTTGTACAACGTATTTTACAAAATTTGTATTACAAATTTGTAATACAAACTACATGTGTAACTCAGTTTTAAATACTGTAAAATTGGGACATTGAATTGAAATTTGAAAACAATTTGGAAATAGGAACATACAAAGTTTTTCACCCACAGTATTTTGATTTGAATAAACTTCGTTCCTCTGTTGTAACACAGAGACCGTATTGAACCTTTCGATAGACGGATTAGCTTTGTATCGTAATATTTAATACGATCTCATATCTTGTGTCCTTCACAAAATGTTGAAATTCTAATATACGAACACTTAACTGGATAAAGCATAGGGCAATCAAAAATGAAAAACTAAAGACGTAGTTTTCTAAATAACTATTACATATTTTTACTTTAGATTAGAAACAAATCGTTACTAGTTGGATTACTTTGGTACCCTGAAAATGGTTTGTAGTTGATATATTTTACAACACGTTATTCTGTGAGAACGATAACACTAAGTACACAAGGTACTACAATAGCTGAGACCCTACACTCATACTGTCTATAGTTTACATATCATATTGTATGTTAACATAGTATCTTTATGCCTACAGTCATTCATGATTGGTTCCATTCGTACTCTTCACTATACCTTCACTTCATCAGCTGCACATATCATATGTTCATGTTAACGTATTGTTGTTCTGTCTACAGACACCCGTCAGATCCTTGGTTCCAAGGCGCTTCTTCAGCATCTTTTCACTTCGTCAGCACGGTCACTCTAGGAGCTGCTCTACTAGCGAGTGTGCTTGCTAGGGGAGACTATATACTCTATGTATCATATGTTTATGTTAACGTATTGTTGTTCTGTCTACAGACACCCGTCAGATCCTTGGTTCCAAGGCGCTTCTTCAGCATCTTTTCACTTCGTCAGCACGGTCACTCTAGGAGCTGCTCTACTAGCTAGGGTGCTTGCTAGGGGAGACTCTATACTCTATGTATCATATGTTTATGTTAACGTATTGTTGTTCCGTCTACAGACACCCGTCAGATCCTTGGTTCCAAGGCGCTTCTTCGGCATCTTTTCACTTCGTCAGCACGGTCACTCTAGGAGCTGCTCTACTAGCTAGGGTGCTTGCTAGAGGAGACTCTATACTCTATGTATCATATGTTTATGTTAACATATTGTTTACCTGTCTACAGACACCCGTCAGATCCTTGGTTCCAAGGTGCTTCTTCAGCATCTTTTCACTTCGTCAGCACGGTCACTCTAGGAGCTGCTTTACTAGCTAGGGTGCTACACTGAGACTCTATCTATTTCGTTGAATCTGTGATGTGGACAAATCAAAATTACCAATCTAGTGTTTAATTTAAAGCTAATACTACGTATTAGACCTTTATTTATCCATATGTGGAACCTGTATTTAATATTCTATTTATTATTAAGTGTACAAAAGTAATATTTTTCATTGATTTTTATATGTACTACGAAACGTTGTATAAATTATTTCTAGTTGTGACGAGTAAACATTGTTATGGTTAGTATAAGTGTGATTTGCAAATAAACGTTTGTAAGTTTTCGTTGTTTTAGTCTGCCTTTTCAGCCATATCTCTGAAGTTTAGTTTGGTAATGTGTTAAGTATTAATGACAAACCAGGAACAATACGAGTGATATCGCATTTAAAAGTTGAGTAATTTGTCTTCAAACAATATGACGTATAATCCTAACTTACTCCATCAGCGGTTCAACTTTTCATAACTTGGCATTAGATGACGGTTATCTACAGTCGGTCGTGATGTAACACTAATTAGGCATATTAAATGCAACTGGTCTTCGTTCACAATGAAAACATAATAATTTCTTATCGCTATTAATATTCATTATATTATAATTTGGACTCTATATTCATATATGTTTTAACGTTTTCCAAAAATTGAAGTGAAAACTCCGAGTTAAGTCATGAGCAATAAAAAAAAAAATAAAACACGAATAAAATGGAAATCAACTATGATGGTAAACGTTTGAAACGAACTCTGTGTACCTCCAGGTTTAGCATTCACAAAAACAATGACCAATTTGCAAGTGAAAACATTATGTCCGAAAACAAGGTATTATTGTTTCCTTAATATGACGCGGTTGAAAACATTTATAAAATGCAAATTAATTTATGGCACCTTTACAAACAATGCTTCAAAAACTGAGGTTTCTATTTCATATTAATTTTTAAGTTGTATTTTGATCAGGAATCTTATCATTGATGTAGTTAATGCTAAATTACATATTCTTAATTTTGTGAATGTATTCAAACTCGTGAATAATGAATGATTATTTAAATTCGTTTTCTTTGTTACTCAATAACATTTTTATTTTTTCCATTTTTTTCCTTCTTATTTAATGGAACTTTCTTTAATGTCATCGCTGGGTTTATTTGTGGATACAATTTCACTTTCTCAATATTAAATGAGCTAAATAAAAGCATTACGGAGCTGCTGAGAAGTAAACAATCTTTTTTTTTCTAAAATATTATGTAGCTCATACTTGAGCATCGATGGTTAAACGGTAAACCTGTGACTTGTTTAAAAACGAATCTAGTTTTATAGGAAAAGGTATTAAATTCGATATATTTCAATATATACCTAAAACGTAGGAATTTTAGTATTAAAAGGTATTTCATATTATAACAGTTAGTATGTAAATACATACAAGATTGATTTAGCTATTTGTTAATTCACTAACGCGTTTGCTACTTTTAGTTTATTTGTGAATATATACAAAAACTTCAGGTATATATAAAGAAGTAAACCTGCTCAAGTAAGTTCAACAGGAATCTTTATATAAGACTAGTGTACATGTTGCTCGAAATCGAGCAATAGCAAAGAAGTACAGGAGTTATTTATAAACAAATAACTTGTTTAAAACTAACAACAGTCATAATTTCCGATGATTTTAAAAAAGTCGACTGAAAGATTATTAACTAATGGAAATACTCACAATTTACATAACATTGCTATTCCAGTTAAAAAGGTTAATTTTAGCGAATTTCCCTATTAGTCGGGGGGCAAACTGTATTCCGTGGGATTTTTTGTGAAGGGAATGTGTGACTATGTGGAATCTCTTTATTATATGTCACATAATGGTGTAGTACAGGGTGTTTACCCTCAAATTGCGGGGTTTGGTTTTTATGACGTCGTAAATCCAAGATGGCCGCCATGTGTGACATCTATTCATTAAATTAATAATAACTCTTTTCAGAGTAAAATAATCGAATTTTAATTTACACCATTGAATTCAGCTCAAAAAATCAAACAATTTGGTGTTTTGAATCATTGCTCTATGACCATTGGTTACCGAGATATTGAAGGCGGAAAACACAGAACATTGTCCCCATGTTATCCTTATGGGGAAAAAATAAAATTGTATATCTAGCTTATTACTCAGCATATCTTAATAATAATTGGTATGTGGCTTCATTTAGTAGATATCTACTTGATTATGGCCTAAAGTCCCCCATTTTTACATTTCCGTGGCAGCAAACCTGCATACTAACTGCCAATGTTATTCTTATGGACAATTTTTTGCAAGCTTTTCATGAACATACTTTGAGAAATGATGATGTGTGGCTCCATTTTAATTATTTATTGAAGCATTTGTAATTCGTTGAGTATACAGGTCTGCTGCTACGAGTAAACAAATTACAGGTATTAGAAAATAAAATAAATTAGACTATAGCTGTGAGGCATATGTAATTTTGTAGGATTTTCAATTAAGCAATTGTATGATTGTTGGCGATTGATAGGTGATGACATGTAGAACCGTGTACTACCGAGTATTTTGTCTGAAAGTGTGGCCAAGCTGGTGTTTTTGGCCGCCATCTTGGATCCGCCATATTGGATGTTAATAACTTTTTTATACAATGCTAGTGTTGTGACCCATCATTATGAACTAAATTTTCACGCTGATTTCAATGCTGAAATATGTTTTTAAATATATTTTTTTCGTTTGGAAGATATATTCAAATAAAAACTCTCCCCCATACATTTCTTACGGACGTTTCGTACTTTGAACATTTTTAAGATTATTTTTCTTATATCTCCAGTTCCTATTAACGCTTGCAGTTCGTTCTAGTCTAAAGATATTCAGTGATGAGCTTTCATTTGAGCTATTGATCTTTAAATTCGGTTGAGTTAGAGCGTTAGAGTCGAGCTACGAACCCTAACACAATATTAAACTTAACTTATTACAAATCTGTTTATTTTATTTATTTATTTGTTAACGGTTGCACCATTTTTACATGAATAATACAATAATCTTACATACGGAAGAAGCAGAAAAAAATCACAGGCCAGTACAAAAGTAGTGAAAAAAAAACTGGAAAACAAGACTTCAATACAAGACATAAAAAGATAAATAACAACAATAAATAACAAACTATAATTAACAAACTATGAATAACAAACTATAAGTAACAACTATAAATAACAAACTATCTGAACAAGTTGACAAAACGAGATATTCGAAAAACAAAACCAGTATAGGAACAATAACAATGATGCAATGCAGTAGCCGAGTGAAACTTCAGTAAAGAGGCAGAACAAACGAAAAACAGATAAAGCATTTAGAAAAATAACAATATGATAAACTCTGTACAAGAACAAGATATAACAATGCAATAACAACAGGATAGACTATATTAACAAAAATAAATAACAATGCAATAAATAGAAAGTTTGGAAATATGCAAAGATTGATGCAGGAGTTCAGCAAAAAAAAAAGTTCTGTTGTTATTAAAATATGTATATCTCGGTTTATTAGTACGTCACTAAGTTCTTCCTGGTCTCAAATTACTTGGTTAATGTTTGATTTTCCATTTTATTAATCACTAAATGAAATCTGACTAAGTTATTTTAAAATGAGTCATGAACCATCATTCAACATTAATTTTTTTTATGTCCAAAACTTTCTTTGGTTAAAGACATACAGGGCTAGTCATCAGTGTTACAATTTTCAGACGTGGAACCTTTTAGTCTTATATGCCTCATCACACATCATTTACTTTGTACTTACACCAAACAAATGTTGTAAACCTGATGACCAGCCCTGTATGTCTTTAATTGCTTTAACCAAAGAAAAATTTCTAAATAAAAATAATTATTAATGTTAAATAAAGGCCCATGACTCATTTTCAATTAGTCAGATTTCATTTAGTGATTAATAACATTTTAAACCAGACATTTACTGAGTAATTTAAGACTAGAATGAACCTTTGCCGTATTAACAAACCGAGATATAAATCTTTTAATAAAACTGATTTGGAAAAAGTTAAATTTAATATTGTGTTGTGGTTCATAGCTCAACTCTAACTCGTCCGATTTTAATGATCGATAGCTTAAATAAAAGCCCTTACATCACTGAATACTTTAAGACTATAACGAATTGCAAGCGATAATAAGAACTGGATATATGAGAAAAATAATCAAAGTACGAAACGTCCGTAAAAGATATATGGGGGGGGGAGTTTTCATTTCAATATATCTTCGAAACGAAAGACGATATTTACAAACGGTTTTCGGAATTGAAATTAGCGTAAACATTTATAGTTTATAATGATGAGTCACAACACCAGGATTACATTTAAAAAATTATATTAATATCAAATATGGTGGATCCAAGACGGCGGGCCAAAAACACCAGCTTGGCCACACTTTCAGACAAAACACCCGGTAGTACACGATTCTATATGGCACTACCTATCTATCACCACCAATCATACAATCACACGAAATTACATATGACCCAGAACTATAGTCTATTTTATTTTATTTTATACCAATAATTTGTGATATTTTTTATAGCTACAATACCCCCGTAGCAGCTGACCTGTATACTCAACGAATTGCAAATGATTCAATAAATAATTAAAATGGAGCCACACATCATCATTTCTCAAAGTATGTTCATGAACAAGCATGCAAAAAATTGTCCATAAGAATAACATTGGCAGTTAGTATGCAGGTTTGCTGCCACGGAAATGTAAAAATGGGGGATTTTAGGCCATAATCAAGTAGATATCTACTAAATGAAGCCACATACCAATTATTATTAAGATATGCTGAGTAATAAGCTAGATATACAATTTTATTTTTTCCCCATAAGGATAACATGGGGACAATGTTCTGTGTTTTCCGCCTTCAATATCTCGGTAACCAATGGTCATAGAGCAATGATTCAAAACACCAAATTGTTTGATTTTTTGAGCTGAATTCAATGGTGTAAATTAAAATTCGATTATTTTACTCTGAAAAGAGTTATTATTAATTTAATGAATAGATGTCACACATGGCGGCCATCTTGGATTTACGACGTCATAAAAACCAAACCCCGCAATTTGAGGGTAAACACCCGGTACTACACCATTATGTGACATATAATAAAGAGATTCCACATAGTCACACATTCCCTTCACAAAAAATCCCACGGAAGCTGGATATGTAGGGAATATATAGGGACTATATAGGGAAGTAGCTATTACCGTAGGTGGCACGGTAAGACCTAGACCCGGGACCGATTTACTTTTTCATT